GAGAGAGAGAGAGAGAGAGAGAGAGAGGCAGACAAGAACGGAACGAAGAGAGACAACAAGAAGAAAGACGTTGCCACCGCAACAATTAAGTGTCGTGGGGAACGGCCCAACAACAACACAGCGAAGCAAATCCAATACTGCTGTACACGCTCGCTCACCCTTTCTCCGGGCACAGGACGTCGAAGTCCAGGGGAAGCGCGCCAGACATGCCTTGGACGCGCGTTCGCTCGGAGCGGAGCTCGTCGTACGAGTGGAGAGTGCAATAATCCGGGACTAGTATCATTTCCGCAACCTGGAAGGCGGGGGGAAGACAGCAGTGTGCATGGGAGGGCTATACCACAAAACAGCGGGGAGAAGGGGGGGGGCATCGAGTAGAACCCGCCAAATTCAATCTCTGTTAATCCATAACATGGAGGGGGTGGAAGACACCGGGTATGCTACAACAAGATAAAATGATAAAATGATGTTGCGTGGAAACCGAACAAAGCTTTCATCATCAGCATGTGGCAATGGTTAGAGCGACCTTGGGGTCACGCTGTGGGGGAAGCACCCCAACAAAGGTCGGCCAGAACTCGCTCAGTCCCATTCCCTCTCTCGACGCCGTGCCTACCATGATAAATAGTCTAGGGAATGCGGACACCATCCCATCCCACAGGCCCACGACAACGGTTGGCACCAAGAAGAAGAAGAAAACGAGACACACCGACCATCACCCTTACCGCCAACATCCCTCACATCAATAACAACTACAGCAGCAGCAGCAACAGCAGCAGCAACAACAACTACAGCAGCAAAAGAGCAACCCATCGGCGTGGCACTCTGGGGCGCGTCGTGGCTGGCGTCGTCCGCCTCGAAACCCGGAAACCCGTCCACCTGGAAGATTGCATCAGTGTTATCCTGACATAAAAACGCCATCAAACAACAGACAGACACCGGACACACAGAGGACGAACGAATGAGCCGACACAGAGGGAGGGGGAGAGCAGGAGAAAAGGAACTATATACTACGATTCCATGGCTATCATAGGTGTAGGAGCGTTGCGCGGGGTGCGGTATCTTTTCAAGGGTCGGTTGCACGACCAAAGCCAGTTATATGTAGGCAAAAACCATTCGCTTGTAATCGGTAAGATGCACAAGAAGAGCAGTACAAGTATAGATGTTGCGCCCATCTAATAAAGAAAAAATACATTCATTGTATCGCTAAGCCACAGCGGCGACAGAAAAAATACAGTTTCAATACGACAAGTGGGGAGCGGCGGTGGGGGGTAGGTATAGCTGTAACCACAACAACCGCAGGGTGCTTCCCTTCTCGGAATACTGTAGGTCGGGACAAGGATAAGGTGTGCGATGATGAGAGGAACAAATCCACTTCCTTTCAGACGGAGACGGGCGGGCAACAAAAAAACTAACGTTTGCATCCATTGCCATTACATCCCGAGTCTTACGTGCATGGTACCTAATTTCTCTACAGCAGTAGCTATGTCTGCCCATTATGCCTCCTCTTTGTCTTGTTTGCTCCGTAACTCCCATGCCCTGGTGCGTAGTGCCTGGTGCTGTTACGTTACCCTTTGATATTTTCTTTAGACGGGCGTGGGAAGCGTCCTCCTTTATATTTGTGTTTAATTTTGATCGATTTCCGAGAGCTCTTTTCTCGAACGGTCGGTGCGGTACCTTTTTATCATTTTGTTTTCTTTTTCCGAGTGGTTTGGACCCTATTTTTGTTTTGTTTCCCCGCGGCGTCGTATGTGCCGGGTTTTCAGACCACGGGCTCCCCAATTTTTGTGGACTATAGAGCTAATGTGAGAAACAACAACAACAAAACAACAGGCTTGTTTCTTAAACCGCGGTACAGGCGCTTCCATTTCATAGAGTGGCTGGTTTTTGGAGCCGAATTACCATCGTCGTACGAAACACCCGCGATAACACGCCTGGATTTTGCCATCGAAAAAAACGAACAACAATTGCTCAACAAAACATCCACACTCAAGAAGTGGAACGCCTGAACCGCGAGTCCCCTTGAGAAACTTTCGGTATCATTCGTCACAAGCAACATTACTCAACAAACCACTCACGAATCTCAACCACAAGGTTGTATCCGCCGTAGCCCCGTCCTCTCTTTTGCCCCCTCACCCCCCCCCTCCGCCCCCCCCGGTGTTAGCCATCGGGGTTGGGTTTTCGACGCTTGGCAACGACGTCGTAAAACAAGCCGCCCCCCCCCGGTGTTTGCCATCGGGGTTGGGTTTTCGTCGCTTGACAACGACGTTGTAAACAAGCCCCCTCCTCGGTGTTTGCCATAGGGTCGTGGAACGTGTACGGGTTCGCAAGGAGTGAGCGCAAGCGGTTGGAAATAGTGGACCAAGTAGAACAAAGCGATCTAGATGTAGTGGGGATCCAAGAGACGTGGGAATTGAAGGATGGTGACGTGGTAAGCAAACTAGGGAAATACCGGTGGGTAGGGAAGGCAAGAAAGGGCTTAGACCCGAAGAAAAGGGGGGAGGGGGGAGTCGGATTCCTGGTCAAGGAACACTTGTTTGACGTGGTGGAAGTAGTGGTGAAAACGGAATTCGAGGAAAGCCTATGGCTTAAGATACTTGGGGAGCGGGGTGGGAAAGATTTGTTTCTAGGGAACGCATACGTCCCACTGTCGTCGAAGAAAGTCGCAAGCAAGGCGCAGGAGAACCTTGGACAAATTGGGAAAGATATCCAGAGGTTCACTAGGAAGGGAGAAGTTGTCATGGCGGGCGATTTCAACTCCAGAGTAGGGAAAGCTTCCAGTAGAGGACAGGCGATCGGGCAGCACGGAGAAGACAAAGTGAATGACAACGGAGTGAGGATGCTTGAATTCTTGGGAAGCAACGAACTGATGGTGTTGAACGGTAGGAGGGAATGCGATAAGCCGGAGTTCACAAGGCAACGGGCAGTTTGCAATGAATACTCAATCCTCGACTACATCCTGGTAGACAGGGGGAGCACGCAGATCCCAGAGCTGCACATAAGTGCGATAGATATAGGTTCGACCGACCACTTCCTCATATGGGCAAACATCGACCGATCCAGAAAGATCAAGAGTAAGAAACAGAGGAAAGTGTTCCG